ATGTCATATATGCACGCTACCTGCTACAGACCTACAAACAGGAGAGTGGACAAGATATCGATCAGTTCGTACAAAAACTGAAATCATTAGCCAAAGACTGTGAGTTTAAATCTGTGTCTGCAACTGAATATCAAGATGAGTGCGTGCGTGATGCTATAATTAATGGCCTGGCGTCCACATCCATCCGCGAGAAGCTTCTAGCACAAAGCGAACTCACTCTGGACCAAACATATCAGCTGGCTAGGCCCCTCGAATTGGCTCACAAACAGTCAGAGTCATATGTTAGTAACGAACCCATATCTTGCTCTACGATTCCACCCATTTCACAGAATCCCGAACTGTGCGTTGATCCGACCACTGCTGTAAAATCCATTCAGACAGGTTATTTCTGCGGTTATGATGCACATCCTCGTCCAAAGTGCCCCGCTCGCGAAGCCGTCTGCAATGTTTGTGGTAAACGCGGTCACTTCCGCCGCGTGTGCCGTTCAAAAAATACCTCCAAGTTCCACACAAGTTGTACAACAAGGCCTACTTTATCGTCATTATTCGTTGCAGCAGCTCCTACCTGCCTGGCGCATGGCATCGCAACTATCGAAGCCAATAGCATCACTCTCCGTGCTCTGGTCGACACAGGGAGTTCTTGAAGTTTGATTAACGCTAAGGTCGTGAAACTGCATAATTGGAAAATTTATCCAACTTTCTCAGTCGTCACAATGGCATCTACATCCCTATCATGTCGAACGACTGGTTACGCTTGTGTTTCTGTCCGATACAGAGATACCTCATACAGTGAACTGAAGCTCTTTGTAATGCCAAACCACTGCACCGACGTTTTACTCGGGCATGACTTTCTAGGTCTACACAGCAAGGTAGAAATTTCATTCGGCGGGGATCGTGATGCGCTCACCATCTGCGGCCTGACGGCTGTAAACGTTGAATCACCATCACTTTTCGCCAACTTGTCTCCAGATTACAAGCCTGTTGCAACCAAATCAAGAAG